GTGGGTTTTCTGGGAAAAGTGTAAGAGAACGCGAAAACCCCCCCTCCCCCCAGCCTCAGAATCCTGTGCACTGCGAGTGTAACTGCTGCCCGTCCCAGGAATCCATCTGGCTGAACCCCAGGATGGTGCGGCTCTGGGGGTTAGGAGGCCAGGTCTGCGACTCTGGATGGTCATCGGTTCAAATCCCAGGGTTGGCTGGGTGATCTCACCATTGTGCCCCTAAACAAGGTCCTCAACCCCTATTTCTCCAGGGACTGACCCTGTTTTCTCTTTGCACACTGCTTTGGATAAAAGGTGTCTACTAAATACATTTATTTAAACGTGCATATACAAATGTAAATGAATTCTATGCAGAGTCCAGGCTGACTGAGGAGCCCCAGAGAGAAAGACATGCTCAGTCTACAGCACTGAATCTCACTGACTCACAGAGGTGACACATTCAAAGACCACACAGGGTCCAAACCAATCACAATTACACAATTGCCATTAGCTCATTTACATTTGGTTTTATTCCAAATTCATGTTTTATAGACAACTTCTGCTATTAAAGACATCATTCAAAAACATATTTTGGAAAAAAGATAACCTGTTGGTGCCTGGTCAAAACTAAGCAACCCCGTTTTGTGGTATGACATTAATGTTCCAGTTAGTAGATTTTTACAATTTATTGTGGACACGTATATTTTAATTTTTCAACCTGCTTCCCTGTGAGCGGATCATTATATTGCACACATTCCCGGCTGCTTTACTGGCATTGCGGTATGAACTTGAGCCTAATACAGGCTAGTTAACCTAGACACAAACAAAACGGTGGCATCAGATCCCGCAGATGTGGTGGGGGGTCCCAGACCGCCAGGGTACGGATGCGGGACAACGGAGATGCGCGCCTACTTCGGTCTGCGGCATTTCATTGCCCTGCCGGGTCCCTGTCCAGCTCACTGCCGTCAGCCGAGTGGTAAAATAAGACCAAACAAACAATCAGTCCCACTCCCTCTCGGCTTGAACATAAAAGACTAAGAAAAAGCGCCCCAATGAAGAGTCACTGTGTGAACAACCCGGCAGCGCGCACACGCACACATATACAGCGGGCGTGATCTTATCTAACCTCCGCACAGACATCGCATAACACATGACATTAACAGTAATTATATATCAGCATCGCCCGATCTGTGACAGTGCCGCTTGTACATCAGTCAGACGTAACGCGAATCCAATGACAAGGCGACTCGTTACTTCCTAATAAATGGCATGGCACGGCTGACCTCCGCGGGGACCAAATCATGGCGATCATCTCTTAGGATCTTACGAAACGTGTTACATCGACGTTACTTTGTATCGGCGCGGCCCCGCTCGGTCGGCGCGCGGCGAGCAGCCTCCCCGCACCGGCGGCGGCGTGCGGCGCGGCCCCGCGTCCCTGCCATCCCAGCCCAGCTGGCATTTTAAAGCCAAGCGCGTTTCCTCCATCCCATTGAACGAGATCATACATTAAACACTATCTGCTCGGTCACATATCGCCACTCCCCCTCTAAAAAAGACAAATGTATTTCACCCACTATAAACGAACACTTCAGTAAATCTATTTTGCGTCTCATACGAGCGGAAACATCGACACATTAAAAGACTTTGTACTTACGTAGATCGCGACAAGAAAACACATTTAAATACAGGCTAACATGGACGGTGATAAACAGCAGCAGTGTATGACCTACTTTCTCCCTTCTGTAATGCCCGTCGCACCACTAACCTACTTTTTCTGACCAATTGCGCCCAGGGAAGCAACTGCGTAGATCTCCCGGCCAATCAGAAGGCATATTCAAAAGACGCGACCAATGGGAATATGAAGGGCAGACCATGGAGCCAATGACGCTCCGGAAACAGCTCCAGAGAGGAGCGGCCGCGGCCAATGGCAGAAATAAATAAACTTAGGCGTTCCTCTCAACCTGTAAGTACTGAAACGCGTTGAATCACCGACAGTCAGACGGGAATTACTAGTTGCGAACGTACCTTCAATTAACTTAGTAAATGTAGGGCATGTCCGAGCCGGAGCGCTACATGATTACGCCATTTTAGTCAGCCGACAGATCATTTGAATGAAAATTCCATTAACTCGCTTAAAACAATAAAAGTCACAGTGTGCCTCATGAGCAGTATTATTCAATGCAATTTTAAACTGAAAGTATCAAATAATATGCTGCAAAATGATATAAATGGGACATATTCGACACGCACATCTGTATATGCTAAAGAAGTATTGGCATAGTTGATTGCTTTTAAAAAAAAATCAATAAATGTTCATTACAATATCTGTAAAATCACATTCAATCTTTCGCCCCTACCGATACAGAACTTAGGCTGTACAGCAGTATAGTGAAGGTAAATGATTGTTTTATTCCGAGCTGGTACAAAGGCTGATAAGGTAGTCAAAACACACACGGTTTATTGACAGATCTCTACCGTCTCCAAGTGTTTTTAATGCTGGTTTGCCTTATTATGAAAAATAACTCGTTATTAGTTTTATTGATTGCTGTTATATTCCTATTTCATCTAAATATACATAAAACATCACATAGTCACAAAACGCCGAAATTCGACAAGAAAATTAACTTTTATAGTGATTATCTAATTATAGTTATATATGCCTGGGATAACTTAAAAAAAATGAGCAAAAGCTAGTTTCATATTCCTAGATATGTTTTTTTTAACTGAACAATTAACTGTTTTTAAACTTTTTAAAACTAAAAAACACATACTTACACGAGGTGAAGTGTTAAGGTTGAAACAAATGTAGCCGGAGTCCTATATGTACTGTATTCATTTTGTATATGAATTACAGGCGGAGCGGATGCTCGCTGATTGTGTAACAGGTGGATTGGTGTCGCGGGTTTCATTCTCCTCACAGTCCATAAACAACCTGGAAGTTTCTATTTTAGTGTGCGCTCTGCGCCCTGCGCCCCAGTGACGTCATGGCGCCCCTTACAGGGTGTGTCCTCCGCTTCCTGGGACAGACTCCAGGCTCCCTGATTTTTCAAGCTGCTGACAAAGATGGATGGATGCTTTAAACACCCCGCCTGGATTTTCCCCCGATAGGCCTTCCTGCACGCCAGTCATCCATGATGTCAGCGGAAGCGCCGAATTGAAAAGTGCGTGGCCGGTTTCTGCGGCGTTGCGGCGGCGTCTCGACTCTTGTCGGGAGGCCTGGAAAAGCCGACGAGGCCCGCCGGAGCCGTTTCGTTTTGATTACTTCGGTTTGCACTTAGGAAGAAAAAACAGGAGAAATTGCAGCACCAATATGACAGCTAAAGGTATGAGTTAATATATTGTATTTATTGCATTGTTTTCTTAACAGAGACATCTAAGGTAGACTAACCTTTCCAAGACATTCTCAATTAACTGAATGCAACACGAAACACAGACCTGTTACATCCGCATATTTTGGAAAAGTGTTTTTAATTTGAAACCAATGCAATACAAAATACAGTATCAGGAACGTCAGTCACCCAGAAACATGTAAGAAGGGCGAGTATTATCTGAAGAAAGAACGAAAGAAAGAAAAAGACAAGGATAATGGATAAGAGGAACAAAAAAAAACCTATGAGGGTCCAAGGTTGACTAGCTGCCAGCCCCCCTCAGGATGCTAACATTATAATAATTACAATAATGTATAAACATTATAATAATGGGGATGCTAACATTATAATAATTACAATAATGTATAAACATTATAATAATGTGTAAACTGAGGTAGAAATATCCACCCTGAAAATGATCATTTTAGTATTGTTACACACTTCCCTCTGATGTTTATGTGGATTGGATGGTCTGGTACTCTTCCCAGGGATCCCCCCTCTGACCTGTCATGCCTTCAGTATACTGCTATACTGGACCTTTTCCCCATTATTCATAAGCAGGTCGCCTTTGCCTTCTAGGGGTCTCCTCACAGGAGGGTCATTCCCGACCCCTGTCATGCTTACACACACATTAATGATTATAATGCAGTTATTTTAAGTCATGCGTTGGATAGAACATAAGAAATTGCAAGGTAAACAACAGCAGGACAAGCAGAAAGGTTATTAAAGGGTTCCACTCCATAGGCATGTGCAGGAACTGACGTGCAGGTATGTATTGTGCAATGTTTTCTTTACTATTTTTAGTAAGGTTACAATAGCTGGAATATGTTTTGCTTTTTGCTTGACAACTTTAAGTCTATTCCAAGAAATAAAATTACTAAAGCTTAAATTTAAAATAATGTATGAATGTTAAGTGGAAACATCTTTAAAATAAAAACTAATAACTAAAACTAAACTGGATTTCAAAGAAAAATTGTAAATAATGTAAAAATAGAATCTGAATTAAAAAATCAAATGTATAATATAATGAAAAATAAAATAGCATCGGGAAATATGTGGATGACACGATGGTGGTAGGTCTTATCCCCTATGAGATGAGATGGCATACCTTGATGAGGTGGAGGAGCAGTCTATGTGGTGCCAAGCTAACACCTTGGAGCTGAACATCTCTAAGACCAAGGAGATGGTCTTCAGGTAGGAGCAGCAGAGAAAGTACGTACCCCTCGAGATTTACAGGTACTTCGGAGCACACGTTTCTGAGGACTTGACCTGGACAACCCACAAATTCACCCTGGTGCAGAGAGCCAGGCAGAGTCTGTATCGCCTGAGCAGCTGAGGAAATGCAAAATCTCGTCTGTGCTACAAAAAACTCTCTGCAGCACTGCTGTGGGACCTGTGCGTTGCGGGAGCATCACTGCCAGGCCCTGCGGAGGGTGACACGGTGCACCGAGCGAATCACCAGGACGAAGCTGGCCGCCCTGCACCACGTCGGCACCCAGTGATGTGAGTCCAGGGCTAGAAAGATAAGATAAGATAAGATAAGATAAGATAACCTTTATTAATCCCGCAGTTGGGAAATTTGCATTGTATCGTAAGTCGAATATGAATATGATTTTTGTTTCTTTGTTTTTTTTTTGATAGACACAAACATAAGCCAATGAGCACACCTGAAACAGTATTGCTGAGAGGGAATGAATGAGCAAGTGTGTGTGTGTGTGTGTGTGTGTG